TGTATCCAGAGTTCAATGGAATGGAAGCCACACTGTAGCTTTGGGGGTCAAACAGCTGAACACCAGAGATGTGGGGGGCTCTTACTGGAAGTGAAATGTCCCTCTAAGGGAACGCAGGCTGAGTTCCAAAGCAAGACTGGATATGCAGGAGCAGTCAGCTGTTGGCTGTTTCACCCTGAAATCCTTGCTTTGTGAGTGGAACATGTCCAGCTCCTTCCCCCGTTTAAACACATGGCATCAGGAAAAGCTTACTTATTCCAGTTAATGCAAATGTGGTTTCTAAGCAGGGTTCAAGTGGTGGTAGCACCTGGGGACCTCAGATGGGGAGCAGGACCCCGCTGTGCTAGGGGCTGGGCAAACAAGCCAAGACTGCTCATGCCCCAGAGAGCTCATGATCCAGACACCGTGGGCACATTCTGCACAAACCCTCCTGGCCAGGAGTAAAATCCATGCAGGTGTCTGAACAGCTGCTGTTTGCCAAGGTGGGAGGGGGCCATCGTTCACCTGGGCTGAAGGTCCAAGCTCACATGTGGGCTGCATTGGGAAGGTACATGGCAGCTTACAACCAAGGCATTGCCCCTGCTCCTGGGACAAGACTTACTTGTTACCAGGGGTATTGTGGGGAAACAATCCAGTGCACGCTGACGTGGAACAGGATAGAGAGACCCTGCCAGGACTCACTAAGGGAAAGCCCAGCTGGCAGAAGGGGGAACCCTCAAGCACACACAGGTGGCAGATCCAAGGGAATGCCATGGGGTCCTATTCAGCTCTGAAAAGCCAGTTCTAAATAACCTGGACTAAGGTGCATGTGGCAGTGGGGATGGGGCTTATGGAGGCAGGGTCCCGTGATGCAGGCATGTTCCATGCAGAAAGCATGTGGGAGCTGTCTGCAGGGACTATCTAGCAGCCTGACATGGGCTATGCTAACTCGTCATCCTGGTGTATGTGTACTAACTCCTCTCCATTTCTGTCTCATTGTCCAGTCTTGGTGAGAGAGGCCAGGATGGAAACCAGCAAATGCAGGCCGTGAGCACCTCAGCAGCAGCATGGACTCCAAAGGGTCACTCCTGGAGAAATGGTACGAGGCCAGGACACCATGGGAGTGGGACTAAACTGTTATAACTGTCTGGGAGGTAGGGAAGGGTCATGACATAACATCAAGTTTATCACAAGAGCCTGTATGTCCCTGCTGTACTGAGTCAGCCCTGAGTCTTACTGTACTCCTAGCTTGAGCATGTCTTGTACTCTAGGACATTTGCTGTCCGGTCTCTGAAGAGACTAGTTACTAAGGTACTTGCTCAAGGCACACTGCTTTCATGAGCAGAACAATCCCATGGAATGAGGGAGCAGTCGAACTAAGATCCCAAATGAGGGTGGACTCCAACAAAGCTGCTCCCTGCCCAAAGTGAATGTTACTGAACTAGTGTCACTTCCTGAAAGCATGGCGTCCTAGAGGACTTTCCACCACTAGAAACAGGCTGATGTTGCTTTTGAGTCAGAAGCTCTCTGGGGCTATATAGTGCACACTAAAATAGTGCCCTCTTGCATAAGTAACATGTGACCCTAAGGCCTGGTCTGTGTACAGATCTTGTACTGGGGCAATTGGGTCAGTGAGGGGTGAGACTTTTTAGCACTGTAGTCCCCAGTACCACCCCTAGTGTGGTTGTAGTTCTACATGTTTATATCAGTAGAGCTTATTTACCTTCTCGTATAGGAATAGCTATCCCAGGACTAGGACTCCGGTACCAGCATAACTGCCTCAACGCTAGGGTGCATCACTTTAACTGTACTGGTATAGCCGGTGGTTCAACCCTTCGATTTGATGCCTTGGCTTCTGACTCTGAAAACATGGTCATCTTCTGTAACCTTGACATAACTCAATCATGGCATGTGACATTACTGCAGGACCTGCTGTTTATACCTGTCGTCTGTCATCATTCCTGACTCTCTCTCTCGCTCTCTCTGCAGGCTGTCTGTGAGGCTCCTGCTATGGGAAAGAGCAGCCTGGAGAAGAGTTGAAGCTTTTAAACGTGTAGATTTCCCCAATAGCCATTTTAGACATGTTCTTTATGTCCAGACTGAGAAATAAAACCTCCCTTTGTATCAACAGTGTGTTGCGTTCTCTGCTCCCTGAAGAGACCATGTCAATGGCCTGACAGGTGCCCCAGTGCCACTTTAACCCTTCTGAAAAGTGCATTTCCCATCTACTCTTCCTTCCCAACAGAGGTGGCTTGGATGGAATGAACCCTTCATTGCCTTTGAGGAGCGATTAATAAGACTGGGACTTTTCAGCTTGGAAAAGAGACAACTAAGGGGGCACATGATAGAGGTCTATAAAATGATGACTGGTGAGGAGAAAGTGAATAAGGGAGTATTATTTACTCCTTCTCCTAACACAAGAACTAAGGGTAACCAAGTGAAATTACTAGACAGCAGGTTTAAAACAAACAAAAGGAAGCATTTCTTCACATAACGCACAGCCAACGTGTGGAACTCCTTGCCAGAGGATGTTGTGAAGGCCAAGACTATAACAGGGTTCAAAAGAACTAGATAAGTTCATGGAGGATAGTTCCACCAATGGCTATTAGCCAGGCCAGGCAGGGATGGCATCCCTAGCTTTTGTTTGCCAGAAGCTGGAAATGGGCAACAGGGGGTGGATCACTTGATTACGTGTTCTGTTCATTCCCTCTGGGACATATGGCATTGGCCATTGTCAGAAGACCGGATACTGGGATAGATGGACCATTGGTCTGACCCAGTATGGCCGTTCTTATGCCTCTTAAGATCTAGTGGCCTCGTATAGCCTAACCTAGTTATCACAGGCCAGGAATTTCACTGTTACCCCCATATCAAGCCTAGTAACCTGTTTGACTAAAGCATCTGCCAAAAGGCCTCCAGCCTGGATTTGAAGACACACACACACACACACACCCCCATGAGAAGGAGAATCCATCCCCTTCCCATGGGAGTTTATTCCAAGGAGTAATCATCACCACTATGAAAAATGTGCCTTATTTGTAATTTGAATCTGTCTGTTTGCTTTCACCTTCAGCTACTGCTTCTTGCTCTAACTTTCTCCCCTCGACTGAAGAGCCCTTTAGATCCCAAGGGAGGTATGCTAAGCTGAACAGCCTGAGCTCCCTGGGTCTCACTGCAAGGCATCTTCTCCAGCCCTTGAGCCATTTCTGTAGCTCTTTTCTGCACCCTACTCCATTTTTTAACACTTATTTAAATTAGGGCTGTGGATTAATTGCAGTTAACTCACGATTAACGCAAACCAATTAATCATGATTAATCGCACTGTTAAACAATAGAATACCAATTGAAACTTATTAAATATTTTGGATGTTTTTCTACACTTTCAAATATATCCATTTCAATTACAACACAATACAAAGTTTCAGAGTAGCAGCCGTGTTAGTCTGTATTCGCAAAAAGAACAGGAGTACTTGTGGCACCTTAGAGACTAACAAATTTATTAGAGCATAAGCTTTCGTGGACTACAGCCCACTTCTTCGGATGCATATAGATACAATACAAAGTGTACAGCACTCACTCTATTATTTTTATTACAATATTTGCACTGTAAAAATGATGAAAATTTTTTTCAATTCACCTCATACAGGTACTGTACTGCAATCTCTTTATCATGAAAGTGCAACTTACAAATGTAATGGGTTTTTTGTTGCATAACTGCACTCATACAAAACAATGAAAAACTTTAGACCCTACAAGTCCACTCAGTCCTACTGCTTGTTCAGCCAATCGCTCAGACAAACAAGAATGTTTACATTTGCAGAATATAATGCTGCCTGCTTCTTGTTTACAATGTTGTCTGAAAGTGAGAAAAGGCATTCACATGGCACTGTTGTAGCTGGCATCGCAAGATATTGCTGTTGGTCCTGCTTTGAGCAGGGGATTGGACTAGATGACCTCCTGAGGTCTCTTCCAACCCTAATATTCTATATTTACAGGCCAGATGCACTAAAAATTCATATGCCCCATCATGCTTAGGCCATCGTTCCAGGGGACATGCCTCCATGCTGATGACGCTCGTTTAAAAAAAAATGCGTTAATTAAATTTGTGACTGAACTCCTTGGGGGAGAATTGTATGTCACCTGCTCTGTGTGGTTTTTTTGCCCACATTCTGCCATATATTTCATGTTAGAGCAGTCTCAGATGATGACCCAGCACATGTTGTTCATTTTAAGAACACTTTCACTGCAAATTCGACAAAAGGCAAAGACGATATCAATGTGAAATTTCTAAATCTAGCTACAGCACTCGACCCAAGATTTAAGAATCTGAGGTGCCATCCAAAATCTGAGGGGTGAGGTGTGCAGCATGCTTTCAGAAGTCTGAAAAGAGCAACACTCTGATGCGGAAACTACAGAACCCAAACCACCAAAAAAGAAAATCAACCTTCTGCTGGTGGAAACTGACTCAGATGATGAAAATGAACATGTATCGGTCCGCTCTGCTTTGGATTGTTATTGAGCAGAACCCATCATCAGCATGGATGCATGTCCTCTGGAATGGTGGTTGAAGCATCAAGGGACACATGACTCTTTAATGCATCTGGCATGTAAATATTTTGTGATGCCGGCTACAACAGTGCCATGCAAAGGCCTGTTCTTGCTTTCAGACGACACTGTAAACCAGAAGCAGGCAGCATTATATTCTGCAAATGTAAACAAATTTGTTTGAGTGATTGGCTGAACAAGTAGTAGGACTGAGTGGACTTGTAAGCTCTAAAGTTTTAATTGTTTTATTTTTTAATGCAGGTTTTTTGGTACATAATTCTACATTTGTAAGTTCAACTTTTATGAGAAAAAGATTGCACTCCAGTACTTGTATTGGGTGAATTGAAAAATACTATCTTTTTTTTTTTTACAGTGCAAATATTTGTAATCAAAAATATAGTGAGCACTGTACAATTTGTATTGTGTTGTAATTGAAATAAATATATTTGAAAATGTAGAAAACATCCAAAAATATTCAAATAAATAGTATTCCATTATTGTTTGATTAATTCTTTTAATTGCTTGACAGCCCTAATTTAAGTTTTTAAAAAAAGCCAGCTGGCGGTACTGGATGCAGTATTCCCATATCTGTCTCACCAAGGCCAGTTAAAGAGGTAAAATCATCTCACTACTCCCTTTTTTAAACAGACATGGATTATATTAGTCCTCTCTGCTGTAGCATCACACTGGGAGTTCACAAGCGGCTTCTTTTCATCTATGACCTGTAAATCCTCTTCAGCCAGTGCTGTCCAGGATCCAGTCCCCAATTCGGTAGGTATGGCCTGCGTTCCTTGTTCTGAAATGGCTGTTCCTTGCATTTGGCGGTAGTAAAATCAATGTTGTTTGAAGGGGCCCAGCTTAGCCTGTATTTTCAGTCTTCTGAACATATTGTCCCATATCCTCTAACAGTGACTTGCTTTCTTCCTTTGAAGCTAGTTGCAACCCTGCAGAGGCTCTCACTTTTGGATGGTGGTATTGAAACTGTGCTAAAGCCTCTTACAGGTAAACTGTTCCGTGCTCCCCCCTCCCTGCAACAAGACTGTGGATCTATTAATTGGGCTGCATGCAGCATAGTCTACCCCAGTACAAGGTGCATTTGTCACAGGCTGCTGTCCCTTTGCGTGAGAGCTACCACCAGAGGGTTGCATACATCATAGCTTCTGTAGGCTCAGTTAATTGTGAACAGCAGGGATTCCTTGGGTGCTCCCACTTCTTCCCCTACCAGCTCTGTGTCATCCTCTCATTCCCCTGCACTTTAGCAACTCCCTAAAGCCCCACTTAGACAGGGGCTGTATGTACGTCATACCAAGAGTCCCCCATATTCCCTCCATGCTGGAGTCCTTAATTCTTCCCCCATGGCAGGGGTTGTGTGTGCATGCTCCTCCCCTCCCAATTGCATTCAGAAGTTGTGCTCTCTCCAAACAGAGATGCCATCAAGTTGAGTGCAGTGTTGTAGCCATGTTGGTCCTAGGATATTAGAGAGAAGGTGGGTGAGGTGATCTCTCTTACTGGACCAACTTCTGCTGGGGAAAGCTTGTCTCTGGACTCACCACCTTGCATGTAAGGCCTTGCAAAGCGGGCCAAAAATCACTCTGTTGGACTCTTCTGTTGCTTTAGCTATAGGTAAAACTCTAGCCTGTCTACAGGGTGGGTTCCTCTAGCAGTGATCGGCATCACAGGGCTCCCTGTTGTGGGGGCAGATCTCACATAAACAGGGAAGGAAACTGGCTGTAGAAGCAGCCCTGGCTGGGCAGAGTGATGCAATCTTGTTCTGGCATCTCAAGTGGATGGGAGCGTATTGCTGTTTCCTCTAATTTGATTCTTGTCCACACTATCACTATTCCTTTAGCGGATTACTTAGCTTCCCCATGTCAGATCCTGTGGAACCATGTGCTATGCCCTAGGGAACCCCTCAGTGTGCCTGACCCAAAGGGCTCTGTGATGTTCTGTACCTTGTGGGAACACCCTACACCCCCAGGTTCATCCTTTTAATATGATTGTGTGATATCTAATGCAAAGTTTGTCATGTCGGGTGTCTTCAGAAGGCTCATGATGTACTGAGCATTGTTGTTATGGTAATGTTATAGTAATCATTGTTATAGGTTGTAATTTCATGTATATAGTTTTGAGGCTGAAAATGTGTCCTCATGGCTTAAAGCAAGCCCAGGCAAAAACTCCCAAGAGCAGAGAGGCAGTTCACACCTCATCAGGGCATGTATGGGGCAAACCCAGCCCAGCCTCACAGGAACAAATGACACTGGCCTAGGCAGCAACAAAGGATCTGTTGGACTCTCGCGTGAGTCACCCCTCCTTCCTTTGGTCAGTTTGGCACAGCGATGAGGTAATGCTCACCTGACTCTGAAGGGGACAGGGGGACAAAGCGAAGAGGGAAGAAAGAACATGATAAAAGGGAGAGATGTTTGCCATGCTCTTCCTCTCTCTTCCACCTCCATCTACAGACATCACCACCAAGCGACTGAAGCACTGATCAAAGAGGAGAGCCTGGCTGAAAGGGCAACAAGCCAGCCTGTGGTGAGAAGTATGTAAGTTTGTAAGGGCAGTGAAAGTGTGAAGATCGGTTTAGAATGCGTTTTGTTTTTATTTCATTTGACCAAATTTGACTTATGGTTTGATTTATAATCACTTAAAATCTATCTTTGTAGTTAATAAATCTGTTTGTTTATTCCACCTGAAGCAGTGCATTTGGTTTGAAGCATGTCAGACTCCCCTTGGGATAACAAGCCTGGAACATATCAATTTCTTTGTTAAATTGACAAACTCCTATAAGCTCGCAGCGTCCAGCGGACATAACTGAGTCTGGAA